ATGTGCTGTTGACTTTTTTTTTTTTTAATTTATTTGACAGATAGAGTTAGACAGTGAAAGAGACAGAGAGAAAGGTCTTCTTTCCATTGGTTCACCCCCCCAAATGGCTGCTATAGCCAGAGCTACGCCGATCCGAAGCCAGGAGCCAGGTGCTTCCTCCTGGTCTCCCATGCGGGTGCAGGCATCCAAGCACTTGGGCCATCCTCCACTGCCTTCCCGGGCCACAGCAGAGAGCTGGACGGGAAGAGGAGCAGCCGGGACTAGAACCCGGTGCCCATATGGGATGCCGGTGCCGAAGGCAGAGGATTAGCCAAGTGAGCCACGGCACCAGCCCCGTGCTGTTGATTTTGAATAAGGATTTCAAATAGAAAGTGCATTGAAAAAAAGAAGAGAGAGAGAGAGAGAGAGAATGGGTTTGGACTGATGAGTGAATTTCTTTTTAGGATTTTGTGGAACTGAGAAATAACACCCTTGTTCCTCCAAACTGAAAACCAACTGAGTGATAGATACAAGATTGAGAGGAATGAAGGACAAACCATTGACCTTGTTACAGATAGAAGCAGAACTGGAGCATGTGACTTATAGCCACAGCTTCTATCACTGAGTTAGACAGACGCATCCGCCTTGTCACAGACATGGCTATACAACTACAGAGCTTCACTCAGAAGAGCCTCTTATTTTTCATAAAAATACGCTGTTATGTTAACAGATTTTTGCATTATTTAGGGTGAATTAATGAGTACGTAGTTTAAAATGTCAGTTCAGTTTCTAATATCAATAGATATGACATAAATGAAATTTTTTGGGACTTCTCAGCCATTTTTAAGATTTTTAAAGAGATTTTGAGATAAAAAAATTTGAGAACCTCTGTTATAGTAGAAACATGGGCGTGTGAGAACATTTTGGAAACTGATTCTTGCTGATGAATTGTTCAGTATCCAGAAACACTACATTTAGTGCTGAGAAAAGACGTGATCTTGCTCTTGAGGAATTTACCATTCTCGTTTTTCATGGATTCTAAAGACATTTATTTTGCACATTTTTAATGTCTCTGAAATTGGTGTGCGCCTTTTGAAATCTGAACCAACTGGCAGTTGTCATGTGGCTGTCAGAGCCTGCTTAGGTGGTCCTTTGGTAGTTACTCCTGCAGCATGGGGAGCTTGTTAATTAGTGCTGATGGTTGCCCGAAAGCCGTTGTTGACACCTGCTGGTAAAGTTCCGAAAGCACAGGCAAGGCCTGTCCATTGCTGCATAGAAAATCCTGGGGGCGGCAGTGGAGCAGCCTGTAAGAAACGCTGACGGGGTTGTGAATTGTGCTCTCCACAAAGAAGTGATAGCTGTGAGAGGTGATGGATATGTGAATTAGCCTGATCTGTTCATTCCACAGTGTGTACGTATCTCAACATACCACATCCACCCATAACGATCTACCTTCTTAGTCGTCAGTGAACACAAAAGAACAAGAAAACAGTGGTATCACTGACTCATGGACACCGCTGTGTGGAATAGTGTGTACTTGGGTGACCAAGTCGAAAAGGGATTAAGGGAGCAGCCATTTAGCCTGGGAATTAAGGCACCCCCTGCCCACAGTGGAGTTCAGCTCTCGGTCCTGGCTGCTGACCTGGCTTGCATTCCTGGCTCCTAACTCTGGTCCCAGACCAGCCATTGTGGGCATCTGAGGAGTGAGCCAGTAGCTGGGAGTTCTCTGTGTGTGTGTGTCTCTCTCTTTCTCTGTGTTTGTCTGCCTCTCAAATAAGTAATAAACAGATAAGGGTGCTCAATTTCACAAATGAGACAACTTGTTTTAAAAAATATTTATTTATTTGAGAGACAGATGCATAGAGAACTATCTTATTGGTTCACTCCCTAAATGCCTGCAATAGCTGGGGCTGGGCCAGACCAAAGCCAGGAACTATAAACCCAGTCCAGATCTCCTGTGTGAGTGGCAGAGACCCAACAGCTTGAGCCATCATTTGCTGCCTCCCAGGGTGCACATTAGCAGGAAACTAGAAACAGAAGCAGAGCCAAGACTCAAATCCGGGTACCCTAATAGGGGATGCAGGTGTCCCAAATGGTGTCTCAACCACTAGGCCAAATAGCTGCCTCCAGACAGCTTATTTTTTTTAAGAGATTAAGAAGAATTTGATTGCATATAAAGGAGTACTATATTCAATTTATTTTGCCATGTTTATTATTATATTTATTATATAAATATATATATAGAAAGATATACACTTTAAAGTATGCCAAAGATACACTTTGTCAGAATATGTCTAAAGTCCATCAGTAAGTATCAAAAATTCTATGTATAAAAATGCATTGTGTGGTGCTTTTCTTAAAAACAAATTATTTATTTGTTTCAATGTGAGAGTTACAAAGAGAGGGAGAGGCAGAGAGAGAGAGAGAGAGAGAGAGATCTACTATACACCGGTTCACTCCCCAGATGGCCACAACTGCCAAGGCTGGGCAATCCAAAGCCAGAAGCCAGGAGTTTCTTCCAGGTCTCCCACCTGGGTGGCAGGGGCCCAAGCACTTGGACCACTTTCCACTGCTTTTCACAGGCCATAAGCAGGGAGCTGGACTTGAAGTGGAGCAGCCAGGAGACAAACTGGCACCCATATGGGATGTCAGCATTGCAGGAGGTAGCTCTACGTATTATGTCACACCAGTCCCACTGCTCTTATAATTAGTGGAATTGGGGGCAGCGCTGTGGCACAGTTGGTTAACACCCTGGCCTGAAGCGCTGGCATACCATATGGGCACCGGTTCTAGTCCTGGCTGCTCCTCTTCCGATCCAGCTCTCTACTATGGCCTGGGAAAGCAGTAGAAGATGGCCCAAGTCCTTGGGCCCCTGCACCCATGTGGGAGACCTGGAAGAAGCTCCTGGCTCCTGGCTTCGGATTGGCGCAGCTCCTGCCATTGTGGCCATCTGGGGAGTGAACCAGTGGATAGAAGACCTCTCTCTCTGCCTCTCCTCTTTCTGTGTCACTGTCTTTCAAATAAATAAAATAAATCTTTAAAAAAATTAATGGAATCGATATTTAATAAGGTGTGGTTAAAATATAACAAAATATAAGTCTTTCCATAATAAGAAAAGTGGTTCGCATAATGTCATGTAAGTTGAAAGGCAGAGAGAGTATGTGAAACAGGGGCTTTAGGGAGTATTTTGTAAGGATATGGATATGGGCCTTGAAGGTGATTTTGAGAGATATAGCACTCATTCAATGCATTTATTTATGATGATCAGTATTTTAGAAAGCATATATATAGTTAACTCCAGGAAATTCTTTAATTTTTAATTTTGTGTGTATTCTTTTTAGCTTGGACTGGGTTTCTTTCATTTTCTCCTGGGCTCTTGGTCTCCCTGGTACAATCCTTCCCCATTTTAATAAGCCCTACACTTAGAAACCAAGGTATTCTTTATTCATTATTTATTTGAGAGGCAGATAGAGCTCTTATCCCGTGGTTCACTCTCCAAAAGCGCACAGTTACTGGAACTGAGCTGGGCTGAAGCTGGGAGCTGGGAACCTGATCCAGGCCTCCCACAGGGTGACGGTAGCCCAATTGCGTGAGCCATTACTGCTGCTTCCCCAAGGTCTGCCATGGTAGGAGGCTGGAGTCAGGAGCCAGGAGCCAGAACCGGCTATTAAACCTGATTACTCTGATATGGACACATGCATTTTAAGCGCATGTTACCTAGTAGGCCAAATACTCACCCCTCTCACCAAGATACTCTTTGAAAATGCAGACATAGCACAATTATGTTATTCTGCTTTTAATCCTCTGACGGCTTTCTCTCAGAGAAACTTTAGAAGTAAAAGCCGGCGCCGCAGCTCACTAGGCTAATCCTCCGCCTTGCGGTGCTGGCACACCAGGTTCTAGTCCCGGTCGGGGCCCCGGATTCTGTCCCGGTTGCCCCTCTTCCAGGCCAGCTCTCTGCTGTGGCCAGGGAGTGCAGTGGAGGATGGCCCAAGTGCTTGGGCCCTGCATCCCATGGGAGACCAGGATAAGTACCTGGCTCCTGCCATCAGATCAGCGTGGTGCGCCGGCCGCGGCGGCCATTGGAGGGTAAACCAATGGCAAAGGAAGACCTTTCTCTCTGTCTTTCTCTCTCACTGTCCACTCTGCCTGTCAAAATAAAAAAATAAAATAAAATAAAAAAAAGAAGTAAATGTGAAGTTCTCCCTGTGGTTGACCAAGGCCCCGGCTGTCCCTTTGTTCTCCTTTTGTGCTGCCCTTTCTCTCTCTCTGCAGCCTCTCTTGCCTTTGTATGTTCCATCCCAGGCCCTGGCTTTATTCAGGTCCCCAGATAACACCTCCTGCAAAGTGACCTCCTCCACTACCCCTTGAGAGGCACCTCCCTCCCGCCCTCTCTCCTACATCTGATCTGTTTTTCTCACATCACTCTCCTGGCCTGTTTTTCATTTGTTTGTCTTTGCACCAAAAGGGGTCTCTTTGAGAACAGTGACTCTATCTTTTCTTCATGTTGTGTCCTCAGGGCCTATCATGAAGTCTGATACATGGTAGGCTCTTTTTTTATTTCCTTTTCAAGATTTATTTTGAAAGGCAGAGTTAGAGAGGGAGAGGGAGAGACAGAGACAGAGACAGAGACAGAGACAGAGACAGAGAGAGAGGCCTTCCATCTGCTGGTTCACTCTCCAAATGGCTGCAACAGCCAGGGTTGGCCCAAGATGAAGCCAGGAACCAGGAGCTTCCTCCAGGTCTCCCATGTGGGTACAGGGGCCCAAGGACTTGGGCCATCTGCTGCTGATTTCCCAGGCCCTAGCAGAGAGCTGGATTGGAAGTGGAGCAGCTGAGACTTAAACTGGCACCCACTGGGATGCTGGCCCTACAGGCGATGGCTTAATCTGCTACGCCACAGTGCCGGCCCATAGTAGGCTTTTAATAAATATTTGTTGAGTGAATGAACTTAGCCAGAAAAAAAAATAAAATTATTGACTGATACTAATAAAGTATTGCTCTTTTATCTTGATGAATAGGAAATGAACAATATTTCCTCAGCAACTGAATACTATAAAGAAGTTTTGAAACAAGACAATACTCATGTGGAAGCCATTGCGTGCATTGGAAGCAACCACTTTTATTCTGATCAACCAGAAATAGCTCTTCGGTTTTACAGGTGTGCTTTGCATTGTTTGTACAACTGCTTTCCTCCAAAACACTGGTACAACAGTAACGAAGATGGGGTGACAGTGTCAAGAAGTCATGTGTAGGCCATGTCTCTGTGAAGCTCAAATTTCCAAAACGCAGATGTTTTATGAGCATTAAAATGATATCCAATAGCTGGAAACATGCAGATGTTTGGCATCTTGCAGAAACACAGCCGGGTAACTGACAATTTTTAATAGTATGTCATTGTGCAAGCAGCCATTTTGCCATCAACCAGCGTCTGTTTAATAGTTTAAATATTTCTCATCATCACTGCCCTCATTAATGCCACCAGTCTTAAAGACACAGGCAGATATAGTGAAAAGGTTTGCAAAGAGCAGTTGGCCTCACGTTCTGAACTTTTACAAAGACTTGAAAAAGGATCAACTGTTTATGAAGTGTTGTCAACTCTTGTCCAAATATTTTTTCAAAGAATAAATTTTTTTTCATGGATTCTGTTTCGAACACATACTTATTTTATGCTTCTGGAGTTAATTTTTGAAGTTACGAGGGCCCCTTCAGCCCTTGGGGAATATACAAGGAGATGATTGGCAGCTGACCGGAGTTCTTTCCAAATATGTGTTGGGAGCCTGAAATACAATAATGCAAATGCATCGCACATGCAGCTGGCTCCCCTCCCCACTCCCTGAAGAGGTCGGGTCGTGGGCTTTGTCAGAGCAGCTGGCTGCATTTTCATTTGCTTAATTGAACATGGTTGTCCGTGTGTTCCTTGGGATTAATGATATGTAGCAGGAGAATGAGACTCTTAAATTGCACTGTGAAAGCTAAGTGGATGGTAGAGGGATTCTCTTCCTCAGTGGAAGCTCACGGGTGCTCAGTAGACACAGCTTTACCACAAGGTAGTGTAGACGGCCCAGATCAGCATCCAGCTCAGCCAGGTCTTAGTAATTAACCTACGGACACCAAAGCTTTATAACACTAAAACGTGTGGGATTTACTTGATGTGACTTTTGAGTTCTTATGTTTGTTCTCTCACAACACTGTTTTTTGGGGGAAAAGCATAGGAAAATTGTTTTCTGATTTTGCTTCCAGACATATTCCCTATGGGTAGTACCATTACAAGAGATATACTTTTGTGAGCTGGGTCTTTAAGAAGCTTAGGGGAAATGTGTATTAAGAAAAAAACTTTGCATAAACTTAATTTTTTTGCATCAAAATAAATCTATCTTTTAATTCCATTTTCCATGAACTGTTTGAACTTGTATGTGCTTGAATTTTTGTTGTTGTTGTTGCATTTACTTTAACGCTGTGCTTGTATTCTTTGGGAGTGTTAAAATTATAAAATGAACTCATTTCTAACTTGGTAACAGGAAATATGTGTCCTAACACAATGTTGGTATGACACCAAAATTTGTGCACTTTTTTGAAAAGGCGACTCCTGCAGATGGGTGTTTATAACTGCCAGCTCTTTAACAATCTGGGGCTGTGTTGCTTCTACGCCCAGCAGTATGATATGACCCTGACCTCATTTGAACGTGCCCTTTCTCTGGCTGAAAATGAAGAAGAGACAGCTGACGTATGGTACAACTTGGGACATGTAGCTGTGGTACGCTGTTTTTCTGATATAATTTCTTTTATAAAAGATTAGTTTGTAGAAATGTTCAGGTACTGTATATCCAGGTTTTGTTGTAGTCTTATGTGGCAATTTAAACTTAACTTAAACTCACTTATACAGAACTCACACCTGGCGTCTGTGAGGGGGTGCTTGCCGCTTTCCCTGTAGTAGCAGGAAAGATTTTATGGGGAGGGAAGGGAGGCAGTGGTGAGAGGAAGCGTTGGTTGCCTGTGTGCAAATCTGTGCTTCTCTTCCAGGGAATCGGAGATACGAACTTGGCCCATCAGTGCTTCAGGCTGGCTCTGGTCAATAACAACCACCACGCGGAGGCCTACAACAACCTGGCCGTGCTGGAGATGCGCCAGGGCCACGTGGAGCAGGTCAGGGAACCGGCAGTGGCACAGCGGGCACTTGTCATGTGGCGATCGGTGTCTGATTTTAAAATGAGCTGTAGTGGGGGGCAGGTAGCCTAGGAGGTCGAGAAGCCTGTGTGCACACTGGAGCACCTGGGTGCGACCCCTGGTTCCGGCTCCTGACTCCAGCTTCCTGCTGACGCAGACCCTGGGAAGCAGGTGAGGGCTTGTCTAGTGGGGTCCCTGCCACCCACGTGGGAGGCCCATATTGAATCTGGGCTCCTGACTTCCATCTGGCCCACACCTGGCCATTGAAGGCATTCGGAAGGGGAGTTGTCTCTTCCTCTATCTCTCTCTGTGTCTCTTCCTCTCTGTGTGTCTCTCCATCTCTCTGCCTCTCTGATAAATACGTACATTCATACGTGTGTAAATAAATACATACATTTTAAAAAATGATATAAAAGTTCTAGAGTCGGACAGTCTTGGATTTGAATCTCAGCTCTGTCATGTATTAGCTAAGTGACCCTGGACAAGTTACTTCATTAAAAAACAAAATGAAACAAACCACGTAGTTTTATTAGAGCAATTGTGAGCCTCCTGTTCTTCCCTGTGTTAGCAAACAGTTCTGCTGGTCACCATCCCCTGCCTTAAGCTGAAGTCCTAGGAGCCACCTGCACACTTCTCTTTTCCTCTGGCTTTCTCCCGACACCATGCCCTCCTAGCTCGTTCAGCGAGCCCTGTCGGTCCTACCTCAAAGTCACCCCTGAACCTGGCTACTTTCCCGCTCCTACCACCCTTCTCCAAACTGCTCCTGTCTCTTGTGTGGACCATGCCAAGAGCCTCCACCTGGCCTTTTTTCCCCCCACTTAGATCAGCAAGTGAGTGCACCCTCTAATCTAGTCCTCCTCAGAGCAGCCAAGGGAATTTTCTTAAAGAACAAGATTATTTCTTACTGCTTTGGCTTAAAATCTTTTAGTGCCTCCTCCTTGCACTTGGAATAAAATCTGGACTCAAACCGTAACCTCCCATGCCCCATATAACCTGGCCCCTGGTTCCCTCTTAGATCCCATCTGTGCTACTCCTTTCCCATCGACTTCCTACACATCCGCTGCCTCGCTGCCCTGCAGATGTGCAGGGCGCCGTCTTCCTGGAGGGCCTTGGAATGTTCTTGCAAAGATGGGCTTCTTCTGTCGTTGCTGTCCTGGCTTGCTGTCCTTGTCACTTCTTTTGGAGAGGCCTTCTGGAGCATTCTCAGAGCCCTCAGGCCATGTTTCCTTCTCTCTTTTCTGCCTGGTACTTTTCATTTTGCCGCATATTTTCACAATTAGAATGTCGGCTCCATGAAAGCAGAGATCTTATCTGCCGTGTAACTGCACTACTCCCAGCATCTGAGACGGTGCCTGGCACAGGGTAGGAGCTTCATCAATAGTTGTGGAATGAGTGGATGATGCGTAAATAGTACCTGCCTGAAGACGTTTTGTGAGGATTAGATCTTGCATGAACAGCACTTGGTATAGGAGAAGTGTAGCATTAAGCACATGGCAGATACTTCATAAATTATAATACAGAGGGGCCGGCGCTGTGGCGCAGTGGGTTACGCCTTGGCCTGAAGCGCCGGCATCCCATATGGGCGCGGGTTCGAGACCCAGCTGCTCCACTTCCTGTCCAACTCTCTGCTATGGGCCAGGAAAGCAGTAGAAGATGGCCCAAGTCCTTGGGCTCTTGCACCCACGTGGGAGACCCGGAAGAAGCTCCTGGCTCCTGGGTTTGGATCGGCACAGCTCTGGCCATTGCGGCCATCTGGGGAGTGAACCATTAGATGGAAGACCTCTCTCTACCTCTCCTCTCTCTGTGTAACTATGACTTTCAAATAAATAAATAAATATTTTAAAAAAAGTATAATACAGGACAAAACTTTAAAATGCTGAATACATTCATATCTTATTAACGGCAATCAAGGATAAATGTTTTTGTAGTCTCCAATATAGAGATGAAGAAAAAGAGACTGGAGGTGGGTCAGTAACTTTGCCCAAGGTCACAGACATGGTAAACAGTGTGCCAAGACATTGACCTCCAACCTGGTCTCCTGAGCACCATGATGAACTTTTAATGAAAACAAAGGAAGAAGCATCATTGAATATTCATTTATTTCTCCCAAAGTAAATAAGGTGGACTTGTATTTTTTTTTTTTTAAGATTTATTTATTTATTTAAAAGTAGAGTTACAGAGAGAGAGAAGGAGAGACAGGAAGAGAGATCTTCCATCTGCTGGTTCACTCTTCAAATGGTCACGACTGGGACTGGGCCAGGCTGAAGCCAGGAGCCGGAAGCTTCTTCCGGGTCTCCCACGTGGGCAGCAGGGGCCCAACCCCTTGGCCATCTTCTACTGCTTTCCCAGGCATATTGGCAGGGAGCTGGATCAGAAGTGGAGCAGCTGGGACTCAAGCTGGCACCCATATAGGATGCTGGTGCTGCAGGCCATGGCTTAACCTGCTGTGCAACAGCACTGGTCCTTGGATTTGTGTTTTATAAACAAAAGCTAACTAGAATAAGACAGACGCTTATTTTGGCATGGAACTTTGCCTATGTCCATGTGAATTTAAGAGGTTTTTGTCATTTTTCTTTGTGACCATATTGGTGATGCTCTTTCCTTTCTACTGAATGTGATTTTTCTAGGATACAATTGATTTGGAATGTTTTGATGGAAGATCTTATGATAGTAACCCCATTTTATTACTAAAACTTAATATCTGCCATCCAGTATGAACTGCTATCATTTTATTTTCCATTAAGAAAAGATAAACAAATTTGTCTTCAGGGTCACGGATAGAGGTTTTGGATTTAGTTACAAATTGGATAGCTTTCAACAGTTTGTATTGTTGAATCTGTGGTCTTAATGGTGAATATATGGGGGCTGGCACTGTGGTATAACAGGTAAAGCTAGCACCTACAGTGCCAGCATCCCATATGAGTGCCAGTTAGAGTCCCGGCTGCTCCACTTCTGATCCAGCTCTCTGCTATGGCCTGGAAAAGCAGTGGAAGATGACCCAATCCTTGGGCCCCTGCACCCACATGGGAGACCTGGAAAAAGCTTCTGGCTCTTGGCTTCGAATGGCCCAGCTTCGGCTGTTGTGGAAGTTTTGGAAGTGAGCCAGCAGATGAAAGACCTCTCTCTCTCTGACTGTCTAACTCTGCCTTTCAAATAAAATAAGTAAATCTTAAAAAAATACATCAAATACATTACACATTGCATATTAAAAAATGATGAATGTATGAACATCTCAAGCCACTCAGTGATTTTTATAATTTAGGACCCTTTGAGTATACAGAGGACAAAAAGTAGCGTGTATTTCATGTTTTGAACACTGCCTGTGGCACCAGCACCCCGGGTTCTAGTCCCGATTGGGGCACTGGATTCTGTCCCGGATGCTTCTCTTCCAGTCCAGCTCTCTGCTGTGGCCCGGGAAGGCAGTGGAGGATGGCCCAGGTGCTTGGGCCCTGCACCCCATGGGAGACCAGGAGGAAGCGCCTGGCTCCTGGCTTCGGATTGGCGCAGTGCACCGGCCGCAGCAGCCATTTGGGGGTGAACCAATGGAAGGAAGACCTTTCTCTCTGTCTCTCTCTCTCACTGTCCACTCTGCCTGTCAAAAAAAAAAAAAAGAATTTTTTTACAGAACAAATCACAAATATAGGACTGATGTATACTCACATGCTGTTGGTTTTTCCTTTTCTTTTTTGCACAGGCACGAGCACTCTTACAAACTGCGTCATCGTTAGCACCCCACATGTATGAACCACATTTTAATTTTGCGACCATCTCTGACAAGGTATTCTCTTTCTTTATTCATTTATCATCTGATCTTTTCTTTCTTGACTTAAAAAAATACAGGGGTGAATGTTTTGCTTACTGGTTAATATGCCCACATCCCATATTAGAGTGCCTGGGTTCGACTCCTACCTTGAGCTCCTGACGCCAGCTTCCTACGGATGCAGATGGCGGGAGGCAGCAGTGATGGCTCCAGTGATTGGGTTCCTGCCACCCACATGGAGACCTGGATTCAATTCCTGGTTCCTGGCTCCACCCCCCCCCCCCCAAGTCCTGAAACCTGTGGTCGTCTGGGGAGTGAGCCAGCAGACGGTAGCTCTCTGTCTCTCTGCCTCTTCAATAAATAAATAATATTTTTAAAAGTACAGATAAGTAAGAAATCCTACCTTACCTTTCTGAAAGAAATTATTTTTAAAAAACTCTTTAGTTATTATATTCATATATGTCTTCAAAGGACAGTTTAAGAAATTTAATTTATCATTGCATATTGACTAAATGCCATCGTAGACTGCAGAAGAATTATTTTATATTTTCAAAAATGACATTTAGTTATTGAAGAAATACTCAAGTGACTGCTGGTTTGAAAAGATTTGGTAATTGACTTTTACAGCAAGGAAATTCTATATATTTATAGATCATATTGGCACCAAGTCTCCTACATAATTGCTATAAAATTAAAGATACTAGTTAAAGATATTTTAGCTATGAACAGTATGAAGGAAATGTAACTGTTAATACTGTGCTGCAAGTCCAATTAATATTCAAAAGCAAAAAAGGGAATCATCTGCCATTTTTAATAAGTGAATGAACAAACTAAAGCCACTGAATAACTGACTTGGAAACCTTCCTTTAATGTGGAGGGTGACTCTGTCTTGAGGATAAGGAAATGGCTGAAAATGCTTGTGATACAAGAATCTCTGTAGACCAAACACAGAAAAATGTGTTACTTCACATACTAGGAATATGAAGCCATCTGCACTCTCATTTCTGTTTTGAAAATAAAATAAACAGTCATTCATAAGTAGTATTTAAAAAAATTGAGACTCAAAAAGAGAAAGAGAAACAGAGGGAGAGAGAGCACGCGCTCCCATCCCCTTGTTCATTTACCGGATTCTCGCAACGGCCAGGGCTGGTCCAGTCTAAAGCTGGGAACTGCAGTCTCGATCCAGGTCTCCCCCTGTGGGTGGCAGGGACCCATCTACTTGAGCCCCATCACCTGCTGCCTTCTAGGATACACATTAGCAGGAAGATAGAATCAGTCTCAGAGCACAGACAGAAAGCCGGGCATTCTGACATGGGATGTGGGCAACCCAAGCAGGTCAACCACTGGGCCAAATGATTGCCCACATAACTTGTTTGTTTTTGTGCCCTTCTTAAGTACTCTAATTGTCCCCATAGCTCTGCAGCCTAGGCATCCCTAACCTTTCTCATGTTTTCATGCAACTGGTGTTTATTGAACTCTGCTATCTGCCAGCCTCTGGTGTCAGCACAGAGGGTGTAGCTGTCAGTGAAGCAGGCACGAAGCATCTGCCTCCTGCAGCTCACATTCTGATGGAACCCCAGTCTCCAGAGACTCTCATCTGGACTCTCGTGGCCGTGGCAGCTTCCAGATTCACACCCACTCCCCGTGATGCCCGTGCCTTTTCTACCATACTACATGGACACAACCAAGTGGCCAAGGAAACCTGATTGCTCTCTTTCAGGAATGTCGTCACATTTTAATAACACATAGCTCAAATGAGATACTTCTTTGAGCAAAAGGCTACACCTCTATAAAAGAAAGGCATATATCAAAAAGAAATGCTGTGATTTAAAAAAGCAAACTTAATTGATGCTTTTAATGCATGTTCTCATGTTACCAGGATTGATTAACTAGATTTTTTGGTGCACACACCAAAAAGCTGTCTTGTTCCAGAAAGTAGACATTAATCAAGATACACTCAGGTAGACTCAGATAGTATGTGGTTTTTCTTTGGGACTGGACTTTAATACAAAATTCATTGAAAATCAGAGACAATTTTTGAGCTTTTAAAATGAATACCTTCCCAACATTGTGTAATCACCATTTAAAACCTCTCAGAGCATACTATTGTATCTTAAATACAATAGCTTTCCCTTGAGTTTTTCTGTCTGCAGGGTGATACCTTGATCAGAATACATCTTTGTGGTTCATTGCAGATGGTTTTCCTAACTGAGGCAGAGCTTGCTGTTGAAGCATGCAGATGTTGTCTTCTGTCTGTAATACCCTCAGTGTCAGGAGAACAGACCTGGGGTTCTGAATTCTTAACTCGGCAGCTGTACTAGAGTGTAACTTGTTTATGTAATCGATAATTTATTTTCATCATCTATTTTTCAAGATGGAATTGTAATCTAGGTGAGAGAATTCTAAAATCCAAGTGGCATAATCAAGCAATTTACCTTTAAGAATCCTTTGATTTTCCACCATATGCAGATGATGTTCTCTTTTGTTTGTTTGTTTTTTACTCTCCTACTCATTTTTTTCTGTTATTTCTTACAGATTGGAGATCTACAGAGAAGCTATGCTGCTGCTCAGAAGTCTGAAGCCGCGTTTCCAGATCATGTGGACACCCAGCATTTAATTAAACAGTTAAAGCAGCATTTTGCTATGCTCTGATTGTTCTGACGAAAGAGCATTATACAAGTGGGAAAAAGCACTATGTGTTTCTGATTCTGTAATATAATACACGCATCACACAGGTCGGGGCTTGATCTTCATGAAGGTGACATCGAGTGGAGTATTATGTATACTGAATGAAATATTTATAGTGATGATCACTGTGTATGATATTGGAAAATTATGGTAGATGCTTGTTTATGATAGTTATGAAGCATTTTAATGATCTCATGTTTTTATAAATGTACATTTTTATAGACCTTGAGCTGTTAATCCTCATGAAGATCTGCCTTTAAAACTGCACTTTCATGGCTGAAAGTGTGTGTATTTATCCTGACTGCAGATTTTATTTAGAGCTAAAGAATTGTACTTTAAACTATTTTCTGTCCAATACCTTGTGACTATATATTGTGCTTTTAAAATAAATCAGTGTGTAAGACACCGCTGCTGTGGTCTGGATGTGGTTTGAGCGGCTTCTGATGCCTCATGGGTTGAAATTTGGTCCCCATTGTGAGGTGTAAGGAAGGGTGGAAACTTAACCAGGCTGTGAGATCCAGAGCTGGGTGTTTGGGGTGTGGCTAGTAACGTCATTACGCTGGAAACCCAGTGACTGGACCCTGGTAGCTTTGTAAGGGGGAGAGACTGTGCTGACTTCCCATGCAGGACCTCTGTCCCCAAAGAGTTGTACCATGAAACTTCAAAGTAAAACTTGTTCCCGAGAATCACTTCCTTCTCGTACATTCAAAGGAGGATATTATTATGTCTCATAAGTAATAGTTACGTCTAAGAGCTCACAAAAGATGTATCATCCTTGGATTCTTCTTCAAAGACAAATAAGTTGCTAAAAGGAAAGAGGGGAGGAAGGAAGGGAAAAGAGGAAGAGGGGAAAAAAGCGACATCACCTTCAAGAAGCAACAACATAGATCAGCCCTTGTATGCACTGCTGCGGAACACTTCTCTTAGTTTTCCTGACTCCATTTGTTCCTTTTTTTCTTTTTCTTTTTCTTTCTCAGATAAAACAGGAGAGGGAACAGGAAGGTGGGGGGAGAGCAGGTGGGAAGAATTATTATGTACATAATGATGTATTTATGAGATACATACAAATTAAAAATAAATTTTTAAAATGAAAATTAAAAAAAGAAAGGGGAGAGAAACCAAAGAGACACATACACACACAGGCTCCCTGTCTCTTGCCATGCAGCGTCTTGTGCCACCTTGGAACTCTGCCAGCAAAAAGACTGTCACCAGATGTGGCCCTCAACTTGTACTTCCAGAACCATGAGCCAAAGTCAAACTTTTTTCTTTGTAAGCTACTTAGTCTGTAGTATTGTGTGATTGGCAACAAAAAGTGGATTTAAGACAGCCATCATTTTGTCATTTCCATGAGTTTTAATTTCATTCAGCTCATTTCAAAAATCCAGTAATCTAGGGCCTGCACTGTGGCTCAATAAGTTAATCCTTCTGTGGCGCCAGCATCCCATATGGGCACCAGTTCTAGTCCTGGCTGCTCCTCTTCTGATCCAGCTCTCTGCTGTGGCCTGGGAAAGCAGTGGAGGATGGCCAAGTGCTTGGACCCCCGCACCCACATGGGAGACTAAAAAGAAGCTCTCGGCTCCTGGCTTCTGTTCAGCACAGCTCCAGCCACTGCAGCCATTTAGGGAGTGAACCAGCGGATGGAAGACCTCTCTCTGTCTCTCCCTCTCACTGTCTGTAACTCTCTCAGATAAATAAATAAAATCTTAAGAAAAAAAATCCAGTAATCTTAGAAATCAGTCATATTTCAATTCTGTTGGAGGTGATATGTTACCAATTGAGTGTTTCTCTGAAAACCCATTTCTGGGAGATCACATTATTCATATAAGTATATCAGGATAGGTGGTAGAGTCACAGTACGGGTGTCTCACCTATGGTCAGCCCCGAGAAGGTTAGGCTGTACCCCGCTACTACAGGATGCAAAGTCCTGGGAAGACACCCAGACTTTGCCCTGTTCACTGGAGCGCTCATTAAGAGTTCACACAGGGCCGTCGCCCTGGCTCACTAGGCTAATCCTCTGCCTTGAGGTGCCGGCACACCGGGTTCTAGTCCCGGTCTGGGCGCCGGATTCTGTCCCGGTTGCCCCTCTTCCAGGCCAGCTCTGCTGTGGCCAGGGAGTGCAGTGGAGGATGGCCCAAGTGCTTGGGCCCTGCACCCCATGGGAGACTAGGAAAAGCACCTGGCTCCTGGCTCCTGCCATCGGATCAGCGCGGTGCGCCGGCCACAGCGCGCTGGCCGCGGCGGCCATTGGAGGGTGAACCAACGGCAAAGGAAGACCTTTCTCTCAGTCTCTCTCTCTCACTGTCCACTCTGCCTGTCAAAAAACAAACAAACAAAAAAAGAGTTCACACAGGATGTGTTAAAGGGACAAGGTCACTCAAACTCAGTTTTTGCAATCTGCCTCTCATTTTATTGACAACTACTTTATAGCTATTTATTTATAATCTTTCCAGATTTTTCTAAGTAGTACTATTTAGCTGACAGAACAACAACCAAAAATTAAATGCAAGGAACTACAGACTATTGGAGACCAGAAGCAACTTGAGAGGATGTGTAGATGAGCTCTTCACAGTACAGACAAAGCAAGGCACAGTCACGCCACTGGTTGGTGGTGGAGTCACAGCTGGAACCTGTGATCTTACCCTCTGCGATAGACTTGAACCTTTCCTGGTTCTCATGACATTAGTGTTCAGCTCTTGCGAATTTCCTCAAGCACTGTCAAGTTTCCTAACACTGCATTCTGTATTTACATTCAAACTTTTTTTTTTTTTAATTTTTTGACAGGCAGAGTGGACAGTGAGAGAGAGAGACAGAGAGAAAGGTCTTCCTTTGCCGTTGGTTCACCCTCCAATGGCTGCCACGGCTGGCACACCGCGCTGATCTGATGGCAGGAGCCAGGTACTTCTCCTGGTCTCCTATGAGGTGCAGGGGCCCAAGCACTTGGGCCATGCTCCACTGCACTCCCTGGCCACAGCAGAGAGCTGGCCTGGAAGAGGGGCAACCGGGACAGAATCCGGCGCCCCTGACCGGGGCTAGAACCCGGTGTGCCGGCGCCGCAAGGCGGAGGATTAGCCTAGTGAGCCTAGTGAGCCGCGGCGCCGGCCTACATTCAAATTTTATCATGTCAATCATGTTCTTAGTTGCTGAAAAATAAGAATGAATTTACTGGCTAACTTTTACTGAGCACATTGAATGTGACAGACACTGCTGTAAGTGTTTTGAATTCATTTCCTTCCCACTGTGGTCCTATGCAGTCCTATTTCCATTTTACTTAGGGGAAAGCTGAGGCACAGATGGAAAGGGTCCAAGTCTAGGACAGACTTGTCAGAGCTGAGATTGAAGTGCAGCATGATCCCCAAGTCCGTGTCTTAACCACCAAGTTAAATTGCCTCTGTGTTTTTGCCTCTAAATAATGCTAAATAAATAAAGCTACTGTCATTTAAAATGAGTAGTGTGTGCTTTAGTAAAGTTGAATGATCAGGGCATATTAACACAATAAAAAGGAAATGATTCAATGTTCCCAAGGTGGTTAGAGAGATTTTTTATCTTGAATTTATGTTAATTCAGAGTGAGCACCAGTGCAAACGCTGTCAGGATGACTTAGGGCAGAGTGGGGACACATGTAACACTGCATCAGGAGCTACGTATGTCTTTGCAAGAAAATTATTTGTGGGCTCTATAACTTCTGACTTCAGTGCCAACATTTCTATAGAGGGCTCATTCACAATTGTAGCGTGGTTAAAGAGGAATTCAACCCCCAGTTGCAAGTTGTCCAACCAAAAGTTGTGTCGTTGAGCTTCTAACTATGAAAATGAGGTCTGGAGGGCCAGCGCCAAAGCTCACTTGGCTAATCCTCCGCCTGCGGCGCCGGCACCCCGGGTTCTAGTCCCGGTTGGGGCGTTGGATTCTGTCCCAGTTGCTCCTCTTCCAGTGCAGCTCTCTGCTGTGGCCTGGGAAAGCAGTGGAGGATGGCCCAGGTGCTTGGGCCCTGCACCCGCATGGGAGACCTGGAGGAAGCACCTGGCTCCTGGCTTTGGATCAGCGTAGCTCCGGCTGTAGCGGCCATTTAGGGGGTGACCCAGTGGAAGGAAGACCTCTCTGTCTCTCGTTCTCACTGTCTGTTACTTTTCCCTTTCGAGGAAAAAAAAAAAAAAAAAAAAGAGGTCTGGCACGAAAACTGTCTGCACCGAGTAACTGCTGAGGTTACAAGTTCTTCCTTCTTTATAAGTGTATCACTTTTTTTTAATTTATTCATTTATTTGTGAGTTACACACAGAGAGAAGGAGACGCAGAAAGAGAGAGAGATAGATCTTCCACCTGCTGGTTCACTCCCCAATTGGCCTCAACGGATGGATCTGCGCCGATCTGAAGCCAGGAGCCAGGAGCTTCCTCCAGGTCTCCCACTGGGTGCAGGGGCCCAAGGACTTGGGCCATCTTCCACTGCTTTACCAGGCCATGGCAGAGAGCTGGATCTGAAGTGAAGCAGCCAGGATTCGAAACGGCGCCCATGTGGGATGCTGGCGCTGCAGGTGGTGACTTTACCCGCTATGCCACTGCTCTGGCTCCAAGTGTTCACCTTTGAACCAGCCCTGTGTGGTAATAATTCTCCTGTTATATTTCTGAGTGGTTATTTCCCCGTCTCAGAGTATATAACTTATCAGGATATAATTTATGGCCTAGAGATAGGAAGATTCATAAAGATAAAACGTCATTAATGTTTAGTTTCCACCCCCACTCTCTACAAGTATGAGGAATTTTCTGTCAAGAGCTTCTCCGGAGGACTGAGTTGAAGCACTCAGAAACAAGAACAAAATCAAAAACAAAAAAACCTGAAGATTTTAGAAAAGGCTTTTGGGAGCTCAACTTTGGGAAACAGTGCCCTTAGAAATTGAGTTTAGAAAAAGCCGACCCCACGGAGTCTTAAATGCTAGGAAGTAGGTCAATTGGCATGTTCCATGGACGTGTTCTAGCGTTCCAAAATGGTGGACGAGGCTCCGATTTTAGGGAGGAACGTTACGTGGCAGGTTGAAAACAACTGCAGCTTCGTGTCCTTCCACACTGATGGTGTCAGTCGTATTTTCTGCTGAACAGAAACATTTTTGACAGACACTGACGTTTCACTTTGATAGGAGAGGTAATTTCTGAGATACCCGTTGCTGAAATCCCAGGGATTGCAATATT